CTGGGAAGATTCTCTCTGGTCACAGTGAATTTTTTCATAAAAGCAGTTTCACTCAAATCTTGTTTTTTGTGATGGCAGATTTCAGAGAACATATGGCTGTGAAACATTGTTTCCTGCTTGGGAAAAATGCAGAAACTGTTGTGATGTTGAACATAGCTTACAATGACAGCGCTATGGGAAAAACTCAAGTGTACAAGTGGTTTTTAGGTTTCAAAAAAAAAGATGAAATGTCAATTGATTGAAAACCTCATTCTGGATGTATGTCAGCTTAACAGACAAAAATGTCAACTCCTAGTGCTTTTAGAGTTTGTTCCACCAGGTCATACTGTTCATCAAACTTTCTGTTTAGAGGTTCTGAAAAGAACTTAAAGGTGTGCGACAAAAAAGCCCTGATTTGTGACAAGCAGGGGACTGGTTTTGCCACCTCGACAATGCACCTATGACAATGCACCTATTCGTACAGCCACCTCAGTGTGCCAGTTGCCCCATGTACCTGACTCACTTGACCTTGCTCCCTACGACTTCTTTTTGTCTCTGCCAATGAAGAGGGACATGAAAGGACAGTGATTTGACCACTTAGAAGAGGTGAAGAAAAAAACGAGGGAGGTGCTGTCAGCCATCCAAACAGATGAGTTTGAAAAATGTTTTCAAGAATGGAATTGCAGATTTGACAACTATAGTAAGTGTAGTGGAGAGTGCTTTGAAGGTGATAAGGTTTTGTAAAAGTTTAATACATAGCTTGGGGGGGCGGGAATTCTGTTTTTTGGGGGATATACCCTCATATGTGTATAACAAAATGCATATTATAGTAGACAAGGGCTCTATTGTAGATCTTTTATACAATGCTAAGGACTTGAATCGTATGCTTTTTATATGTTTCTAGTTTTCACTTTTTAGATAACAACAATGGTGTGTGTATTACTGCCCACAGTTGTAGATGTTTGTACAATAGACTCCTTGAAGCATGATGAGTCAAATGATCTGTGTGTGTTAAATTTTAACGATTATTACTAAATTACCTTCCAGGAAGGTGTGCCAATTTGCACTTTTTTTACACACACTTTTTGTGTGTAGCATAAAATTTTTTCTGTATAGTTGCCTCAATACTGAATAATATCAGTCTTTTAAATCTTTACATAAGAGAAAAAGGATAGTGATTTTTATTCTATTCGTTATAACCATTTTATAATGTTTTCTGGTGAATAATAAAGAATGAATTAAATTTTTGTCTTTGTTTTGAGGAAATACTATTTAAAATTAGGGGTTTGTTTTGTTTTTTTATAAGACCAAGGTTAAAACATAAAAACACAATCTCTGGCTCATTTACATAAAGATTTAGCCTCATAACTTAATACTTCCTTTAGCAGGGAAATGATATAGGGTCAACTTATTTACCCAGCGTAAGCAAGATTTACTTCTTTGATTTTGCTCTTGCAGGGAATTTAAACCAAGAAGCTTATTTATCATTATCTTAGAGGGATTTTATTGCCATTTTAGGTTATCAATAGACATCATGGTGAAGCAGACATTATTTTTTCCAAAAAGAGTGTTTTAAAATTACTTGTAAAGTTTCCTATGCCAGTGATTAAAAATTCACACCGATTGTCATGAGTTGATTTTTCTAGAGCAGAGTAGAAACTGCCGCAGACAGTTTCCAAGACTATAATCTTCATTGAAGGAGACTTTATTGAGGACATCTTTCTCTTGCTGGATGGCTGGTTGGTTTGAACCACTAACCTTTCATTTTGTAGCCAATTGCTTAATTGCTGCACCACTAAAGTTCCTTAAACCAACACTAGGTAGTAGGTAATATATGCATATATTTAAAGCAGAGCTACATTTAGTTTTGGTAACAAAATTTTTATTTTCCTGTTAACGAGATAGTGATTTAGTCTTTAATTTTGATGCTTTAGCCTTGCATTTTTTTAAATGTAAGAGATAGTTTTGTGACATGAGGGTTGGACAGTTAGACATTGTATAAGGAACATAAAATTTTGGAGATGAGTTGAGTGAGGTTTAATACATTTTACATAACTGTTAGTTTCTTCATGATCTACCTCAAAAAGGGATTCTTCATAAGATGCTGGTTTTAGGGGTGTGTTGCTTATCCAGAAGATTTGACCTTGTGAATTGACTTATTCTTCTCCAAGGCACTTGAGAGAAAAGACAACGATAGCAGTTACATCTAGAGGCTATTATGGATTGGAGGAAGAGAAGGGAACTGCATGTACATCAACAAGGCGTCGGTCCACACCACGGAGTTTGGCAGGCTTGACAAGTGGAGTTTTTGAATCTATAATGGTTCAAGTTTTGAGACAGGAAGAACAGCTGAGAGCAAAAGAAGAAAAAAGGTAAATGTAAAACAAAACAAAACATTAAGTTTCATTATGTTCACATTTCCAGAAATTCCTTTCCAGAGAATAGACATAAAACTTTTGTATGTCCATCTCAAATTCTTGTGCCAGTTTTAAGAATGTTCCAAAATACAATTTCACCAAACTTGAATTCACAATGAACCTATCCATTGGCATTTATATAAAGATATGTGTAGTTTTAAATTTCAAAGCAAAGTACTTTAAAGCTGTACAAAAAGAATGTACATAAAGATTTCGGAATACTTTCTAGACTTCTAGAAGTATTCTCAAGTAAATGCTAAATTTTAAAATTAATGGAATGTTGTTGTATAGCTTTTGGTAGCTTTAGATATTTCCACGTTCTATAGAATTGCAGGCCTTTGAAATGAAGAGGAACACCAGAGATGTTATAGTTCAAGAATGACAAAAAGGTTTCACCGTTGCCAGCTCCTTTATAGGCGTCAACTTCCTGGATGACTAGGTTTACTCAGGGCTCATTAGGAAAGAGCTTAGTTAGTGATTGATTCCTTCCAGGGTTTGGAAATCTAAAGTAATGGCAATAAGGACTCAGAGAGGCTAAGTGATTACAGGCAGTCCCTGGTTAGGAATGAGATCTGTTCCTCACTGTGTCTCTAAATGGAATATGTATGTAAGTTGGAATAAGTGCATAGAGTTCTTATTTAGCCTTACTGTAGTGCAAGAAAAGGCTCTATGCCTTTTTTATGGTTTCAAAGCAGCAAGGGTGATTGTGATGAAGAATTTGTTGCTAGGAGGAGTTGGTTGGGAGCCCCGGTAGTATAGTGGTTACACATTGCACTGCTGAGCAATTTGGGAGAAATTGCTAACCACACCAAGGGAGAAAGATGAGACTTTCTACTCCTGTAAAAAGTTACAGTCTCAGAAACCCACAGGGCCAGTTCTACCCTGCCCTGTAGGAACACCATGGGTCAGAATTAACTCTGTGGGACCGAGTGAGGTGTTGGTTGAATCCCTTTCTTTTCTTTTTTTTCCCCACGTCCAACAGAGCAAAGTTGAATCAGTTTTCAAAGTAAGGGCACATATGCATAGCATTAAAGAGCTAGTGGGACTTGTCGTTAACCTGGTTGCTGGTGTTGGTAGCCCAGGACTGCCTGTTCTAGTCTTTATACTGGCAGAACAAAGACTGGTGGTGTTTATATTTAATCACATCTCCAACTATGTTAGGAATGATTGTTGATGTAATAGGGAATTGCTAACCCTACTCAATGACATAATATTTCTGTATTCTCAGGATGATAACTATAGCTTGCTTTAATATTTGTAGGATTGAAACTCGGCTTTGCTACTCTATCATAATTTTCATACCAGGGATTACTTTGGAGTCTAGAGGGAAGCACTTTTTTCCTTGGGCAAGGCCTCATGGGAAAGAGTTGTTTATGTGAAGGATAAAGATTACTTAATCAGTGTAGACTATAATGGGATAGGAGAGATTGAAGAAGATTTCTGCTACTAGTCACCTAGAATAAGAGAGGTGAGATTGTTCTGGGAACAATTAACAGGGCTTAGCACTATCCCCGCAAGGTATTGGCATCTAGCTTATACTGCACTAGAGTCTTCAGAAGACATTTTTACTTTTCTGTTGAGCCAGCTACTTCAGGATGACCAGGAACATGGTAAGACCAGTGAATCCTTTGGGCATGGGACAAGTACCATAGTTCATTGGCTATGAAGTGAGTTTCTTGATCACAACTAGTGACGTTTGGAATATCATGATGATGGATACGTTCTCTAAATCCTTAGATCAGGGGTCCTCAAACTTTTAAACGGGGCCAGTTCACTGTCCCTCTGACTGTTGGAGGGCTGGACTATAGTTTAAAAAAGAACTATGAACAAAATCCTATGCACACTGGACAAGTCAGCTGCTAAGCAGGTCAGGCAGCGGCGGCAAAAACACCCGGCGGGCTGGATAAATGTCCTCTGCGGGCCACAGTTTGAGGACCCTTGCCTTAAACGGTTTTGGCACAAGCATTGTATGAAGGGACGGCCTGTTGGAATCCAGAGTAAGGATACTCTGGTAAGGAAGAACACTGTCCCTTTAATGGTGAAAACTCCAGTGTAGTACACCTGCCACCAGACAGATCATCCTGGGAAATGATGCCATACCAGGAACTCAGTGTTGGTTTCTGCTCCTGGCAGATTGGGCAGTTATCAATGACTATAGCTGCATCACTCTTGATAGTAGAAGTTCATGTTGCTTAGTATAATAACCTTCATCCCTGCCACCATGGCCATTTACTTTTGAGGTGATTGGTGAGCGATAGGAGTGTTTGGGGAAAGAGTTGATATCCACAGAATGTCATCATATCAACTTGAGTAGTAAAATCCTCTGTTGAGGTCACCCTTTGGTGAACATTCACATGAGACACAAATATCTTCACTTCTAAAACAGACCTTTTTGTTACCCCTTTACATGTTCCTCAGGTCCCTGAACGTCCATTCAAACCAGCCAAACTAAACCAGATCCACTGCTGTTGAGTTGACTCTGACTAGAACAACTTTATCTGACAGAGTAGAACTGCCCTTGTGTGTTTCTGAGGCTGTAAGTCTTTACAGGACTTGAAGCCTTGTCTTTCTCCCTCGGATAGGCTGGTGTGTTTAAACTGCTGGCCTTGCAGTTAGCAGTCCAGCATGTGATCTCTCCCAGCAGGGCTCCACAGCCTATATGGAATTGTAAATTGGCTATTTCTCCTTCCAAGCTAAATGAAGAACCAAGGGTACTATTTTAAGATCTGCCCACTGAGAGATTTTCTCTTCACACTGTAATTCAGGGTTGTCTACTTTGAGGTGGTACCTGAATATCACACCAAACCATCTATAAACCAGGCCCAAGTTTTCTTGTCTCAGTCATCTGATAGTATAGCACTCTCTATGGGGCTGGAGAAGGGAGGGTTGTAAAGCAGAATGGGAGCTGTGCCATTTAGGCTTCCTCATGTAACTTACTTTTGCCTTCAGGCTTTTGATTAAACCCCTTTGTTGATGGAATGCTGTTGTGTGTGCCCAACTTTATATAAGTTGGTGAATCAAGGAACACTCAGTTCATTATGTGCAACTCAGTTTGCATTATAACTTGGTGACCCATGGTTAAGTGTTCCTTCTCTAGTAAGGCCTAGTAGCAGCTAAAAGCTATTTTCCAAAAGAAGAGACATTATCAGAGAGAATAGCAGCCACCTGCCATCGACACTTTAAGCACCTTTGGATCTACCAAATCATGGTCCAAGCTGCACAATTGCTAGGACCTGTTGTAGGATTTGTTTGTGTGTGTGTGGCCCTGCTCAAAACCAGCAACTTTCCAGGTTACTTGGTAAATGGACCACATGAGGAATATGATGTCTCCAAATTTCAAAGTCATTATGCTTCTTTTTCAGTTAATAGGAAAGACTAGCTATAACAACTTACCTTTTATCACCACTGAACCCTTAGAAATTTCACTGAGGTGGAAAGTCTATGGATTTACTAAATTATTGCCACCTGCTCAAGTGCAAATGTTTCACCAGTAAGTCTAGAGTGTTTCTTACTTATTAAGTCCAATCTGCATGATGTTTTCAGTACAATAGTCCAGTGTGATGTCTACAGAAGGGAAAGGCAATTGAAGTTTCTGCAAACTAAATTATCTAAGACTGATATCTCTGAGATTGTTGCTCTCGCCTTGCTGAGAGCAAATTGCTTCTGGTAGACTTCACTAATAGGATAGAAGAAGTTCTAGTGGCTCAGTGGTGAAGTGCTCCACTACTAACTGAAAGGTAAGTGGTTCAAACCCACCAGTCACTCTGTAGGAGAAAGATGTGGTGATTCATTTCTGTGAAGAACAAAACCCTGGAAATCATAGGGGGGCAGTTCTGCCCTGTCCAGTCCTTGTGAGTTGGAGTTGACTTGATAGTAATGGGATAGAGGTAAAAGCGTTTTTGAGATCAATAATGCTGCATACCATACACCAAGGGATATTTTCATTTGCTTAAGCAATGAAACCGCGTCTGAAACAGCTGCTGTGATGGAATTCACTGGGCTTACGTGTACCCTATTTCATCTATGCCAAATAAGTAGATTGAATGGGGTGATGTCATGGAAATGACCATCCCTCCTCTTCCTGGTGGCACTAATCTCTGTACTTCCATACATTCAGCATTGCTTTTAACTATCCTCTTGGGAAGAAGCAGTTCTGTGGCTTACTTGGTTTTTCCTCTGATAATAGAACTTACTCCACAGATCAGGGAGCCCATTTGAAAAATCTTCTAGTGGCTGAGTTTATTAAAGCTAGAATCAACTTTGTAAAGTTTAAATCTGATCGTGCCACTCACCTTTACTGTTGCCTCCATCCTGCTCAAAACACACGCACAAACAATTAGTTGCTTACCATGATTTCTCCTTTCAAGCCTCCCTGTGCTCCAACATTGTGTATCATTTTTGTCCTCATTTTTTATATTCTAGTCAAAGTAGCCTTCTTTCCAATACCAAGAGAATAGTAATTTTATTAAATGTACCAAAAGTGGTGAACCTTTTTCTTTTTTCCAACCTCTAAATGTTTTCAACTTTTTCTTTAAAAAAAAATGCTTTCTTCCCATGATTAGAAATTTAATAAGTAACACAATTTGTAAAGCACCAGATAACTATTGGAACACACTTACTATCAAAAGACAGTGTCTTTAGTACCCATCTCAAGCTTGCTTTTGAATCCTTAGGAAGAGAATGTGACATTTAGGCAGCATATGTCCTGTGCTATCTGGGAATGTTAGACAAAGGCTGCTTCCATATGTGTAATTACTCTGCTGTTTGTCAGAAGGCCTGACATTCTACCAGTCTTGCAAGCTAATGTGAACCCTGGCAATGTAGTTATACCGTAGGTTGGTAACCACAGGTCTGCAGTTTGAACCCACCAGCTGCTCTGGGGGAGAAAGAGAAGACTTTTTACTCCCTTGAAGAGTTACTGTCTCGGAAACAGCAACCCTGTTCTATTATAGGGT